TTGGCAATGCTTAATTAAAAATCCAGGATATTTTTTTCCTTAACAAACATTTTACTGGGTACATAGAATTTATGATAATATTCCTAGAATAAAAAACACAGAAACATAACATTTTAAAGATTAAAATTATCTTTCTTTATTTTTCACAAGCTGTGTAAAAAGATTGTTTCAGAGATAATACAGCTAAAATACATAGCCTTCAATAATTTTAAAAAGAATTTAATATTTTTATTATTAGAACATGTAGAATTTTAGTGTGTAAGCAGTTGAAATATTTGTACATAGAAATTCTTGCTTTAAAGAAAACTTCGGTTTTCTATTTTCATTTGAAAACAACAGAAAAATCAATTTAAATTTTGTTTCTGGGGACATACACCAGATAAGGTAGATGTGTAAAGCAAAGATTAAATAGTTCATTTTCAGAACGTTTGTTTTTCCTTAAACAAGAGTGTAACAAGGTACTCAGTTGTAAAATGAACGAGATCAGTTATTTAATCACAAACTTGATAATTATATTTCTTCGTTTAATTTTTTTTTAAATTAAGCTTTTCTTGCCAATATCATCATAGAAATTTAAATCATATTTATTCAAACATAACATCTGAAATGGACACTTTTCAAAATTAGTTTGTAGGTAGAATACGACATTATAACTACTATAGATTCCTTATTTTTAGTGAGTACTTATTATCGTGAATGGGCTTTTCAAAGTCAAATTGCGAGAATAATAATTTGCGAATGAATGATTGATCACGAGATTTTACATATATTTCAGTACTATAAAAATAAAGGCAAGTAATTTTATTTCACATGTGCTTTTATTTCACATGCGCTTCTTGCAAAATTATGCAATAATTAATTCCACGCGTATATTTAGGAATCTATAAATCAAAATTATCATCAAGTATATTCATAAGCTAACTTTGTCAAGTTTAAGGATATCAGCACCCCAGATAACTTGCAAGTACAATGTATTTAAATCATGTGACCTGGAAGTCAGATAACTTGCGGGTACAGTGTATTTTTATCATGTGATTTGAAAGTAGGTCAAAAAATAGAACTACTTCAAGGGAGTTGATTATATTAGTCTCATATAATATACTTAACAGAGAAAGGCTAAGGCTAAGGAGGCCATCTTGAAATTACAGGTGAGACATTATAGTTATTTTAAACTTCTCAGACTTGGTGTGTCATTCAATAAATATTTTGTCTTAAAAGCCAAAGATTGATATTATGTTCATTCTAATAATATTTTTTTTTTCAATTGATGATATACATGTATTTAAATGTCTGATTAAAGTTGTTATCATGTATCCCTTCCTTTCAATCTATTTATTCTTTCAATGTCAATTTTGAGCTTCCTGTAGAAGTACTTTTTTCCGCGGGGTAATAATTCTGCGGATTCTCAATTTCTGTTTAATCCATGGGTAGAAAATTAAGCGGATTTTCTTGACTGTCACTATATGCCTTACACTTATATTTAGTACGCTTGGAAGAATTTCCACGAATTATTTGTGACCGCGTACATACATGTAGCGTATATTAATACCAAATATTATACTTTCATGTAAATTAGTTGAATCTGATTGGTCGAGAAACATTTGCTAAACAAGAGGCCCATGGGCCACATCGCTCACCTGAGCAACTTGGGTGATGCAGTTCTTTACCAGATTTCCCCTCTTGCTTTACCTATCATACCCCGCTACCCCCTTCCCTTTTATGATTTTAATACTTTAGAATATACACTACCCCAGGATGCTTCAACACAAGTTTCAGCTTTCCTGGCCCAGTGGTTCTTGAGAAGATTCTAAAAAGATTTTTTCTAAATATAGTGTATATCTATGTAAAACTTGGATTCCCTATTGTGGCCCCGCCCTACCCCCGGGGTCATGATTTTAACAACTTGATATCTACACTACCCAGGGATGCTTCCAGAGAAGTTTCAGGACTCCTGGCTCACTGGTTCTTGATATATTTCTATGTAAAACTTGGATTTCCTATTGTTGCCCCTCCCTACCCCCGGGGGTCATGATTTCAACAATTTAATATTCACACTACCCAAGGATGCTTCCACATAAGTTTTTTCAGTTTTCCTGGCTCAGTGGTTCTTGAGAAGAAGATTTTTTAATGACCCCACCCTATTTTTGTCTTTTCTTGATCATCTACCCTTGTAATTGGACGAGGCCCTTCATTTTAACAATTTAAACTCCCCTTAACCCAAGGAAGAATGCTTTGTACCAAGTTTGGTTAAAATTGGCCCATTGGTTCTTGAGAAGAAGTCGAAAATGTGAAAAGATTACAGACGGATTTACAGCTAGACAGACAGACGACGGACAAGATGTGATCAGAAAAGTTCACCCCGCGGGTCATGATTTTAACAATTTAATGTTTACACTACCCAAGGATAATTCCACAGACGTTTCAGCTTTCCTGGCCCAGTGGTTCTTGAGAAGAAGATTTTTTATGTTTTGTTCTATATATTTCTATGTAAAACTTGGATTCTCTATTGTGGAAATGCCCTACCCCTTGGGGTCATGATTTTAACAATTTAATATCTACACTACCCAAGGACGCTTCCACATAAGTTTCAGCTTTCCTGGCTCAGTGGTTCTTGAGAAGAAGATTTTTAAAGATTTGTTCTCTATATTTCTATGTAAAATTTGAATTCCCTATTGTGGCCCCGCCCTATCCCCGGGGATCATGATTTTAACAATTAAATATTTTCACCTCCCAAGGATAATTCCACAAAAGTTTCAGCTTTCCCGGCCCAGTGTTTCTTGAGAAAAAGATTTTTAAAGATTTGTTCTATATATTTCTATGTAAAACTTGGATTTCCTATTGTTGCCCCTTCCTGGCCCAGTGGTTCTTGAGAAGAAGATTTTTAATGATTTGTTCTATATATTTCTATGTAAAACTTGGATTCCTTATTGTGGCCCCGCCCTACCCCTTGGGGTCATGATTTTAACAATTTAATATCTACACTACCCAAGGACGTTTCCACATAAGTTTCAGCTTTCCTTGCCCAGTGGTTCTTGAGAAGAAGATTTCTAAAGATTTGTTCTATATATTTCTGTGTAAAACTTGGATTCCCTATTGTGGCCCCACCCTACCCCTTGGGGTCATGATTTTAACAATTTAATATCTACACTACCTAAGGACGCTTCCACATAAGTTTCAGCTTTCCTTGCCCAGTGGTTCTTGAGAAGAAGATTTCTAAAGATTTGTTCTATATATTTCTATGTAAAACTTGGATTCCCAATTGTGGCCCCGCCCCACCCCTTGGGGTCATGATTTTAACAATTTAATATCTACACTACCCGAGGATGCTTCCACATAAGTTTCAGCTTTCCTGGCTCAGTGGTTTTTGAGAAGAAGATTTTTTAATGACCCCACCCTATTTCCGTCTTTTCTTGATTATCTACCCTTGTAAGGAGACGTGGCCCTTCATTTTAACAATTAAAAAACCCCTTAACCCAAGGATGCTTGGTACCAAGTTTGGTTAAAATTGGCCCATTGGTTCTTGAGAGGAAATCAAAAATATGAAATGTTTACAGACGGACGGATGGACGAAGGATAAAATGTGATCAGAAAAGCTCACTTGAGCCTTTGGCTCAGGTGAGCTAAAACACTATTACCCGCTGAATAATGAAGCCACGCCCTACAGCGTAGCAACAGTTAACAATGCTTGACGACGGGTGGTATTACAATATATATATATATATATATATATATATATATATATATATATATATATATATATATATATATATATATAAGAGTACTTTAATAGTATTTAAAATTTCTGCACTTCATTCTCTCTACATGAAGTATAATAATTAACATACAATATTACAGAATCATCTTCATCATGTGACAGAGACAGCATTAATGGACCCCAATTACAGTGCCCAAGACATCCTCCTCTGTGACCTGTGTCAAACAGCTGCATTACAGAGTCATTGTGAACTTTGTCGCGTAAACCTCTGTATAGTCTGTGTTGGAAAACATCTCTCTGATGAATCTACAAGACACAATGTTGTACCATACATAAAACACATAACTTCTTCCCCTAACTACCCTATATGTCCAAACCACACCCAGAAACAATGCAGACTTTACTGTGAGAAATGTGACATTCCTGTCTGTTCTACCTGCATCTCCTCTGGTAAACATCATGGGCATAAATTAAGAAATGCTCTGCTAAAACAAAGTTCTAAAACCAAAAAAAATTTAGAAAATGACTTGCAAGAATTCGAGGAAAGAATTTATCCTACATACGAAGAAATTGCATCAGATTTAGACTCTGAAATAGTGAACTTGGATAAATATTACGAGAAACTGATAACAGCTGTCACCAAACAAGGAGAAGACTGGCACAGAGAAATTAACATTATTGTCAAAAACCAACAATCTGAAATTGAAGAGATGAAAACTAAACACCTGGCTGCTCTAAATAAACAGCAAAAAGAAATAAAACAGATTACTTCTGAAGTAAAACAGAGAATAGTTGATCTTAAGAAAATACTGGACTCCAATGATGCCTCCCTAACCTCTGCGTACAAATCCAGAAATGCTGAATTCAGAAGTTTACCTCCTAAAGTCAATGTTACATTACCAAGTATCTCTCTTCATCAGATAAATACAGAACAGCTCCATCAAATGTTTGGTTCTCTGTCAGCATTATCCATTACAACAGAAGAACATGGCTTCAAAATGAAGACACCAGTCAAAACACTGCTTGATGAACCAGAGCTCATCACCACCATAGCTACTAGGAATTTAAGACTACACAGTCTTACCTGTCTCAGTGATGAAGAAATCTGGACATGTGGATTAAGAAATATCATGGAACTCTACAACCTCCAGGGTAAACTACTGAAGTCAATCCAAACCAAGTCAGGGAGCGTACCACGTGACATGGCAGTGACAAGGAGTGGAGATCTTGTTTATACTGACCCTGATACAAGAACTGTAAATATAGTGAAGAATGAACAGATACAGGAAGTGATCAGACTACAGGGGTGGACTCCTCACTATGTATGTAGTACCTCCTCTGGTGACCTCCTGGTTACCATGGTCAGTAATGATTATAAACAATTAAAAGTTGTCCTTTACTCTGGCTCCACAGAGAAACAAACCATTCAGTTTGACAGTGAAGGAAACCCCCTGTTTTCATCTAGTTACTTTATCAATGAGAACAGGAACCTGGATATCTGTGTGGCTGACAATAGTGCCCGTGCAGTAGTGGTGGTTAATCAGGCAGGAAAACTCCGATTTAGATACACTGGTCATCCCTCTACTACCAAGGGACCATTTGATCCATTTGGCATCACAACAGACAGCCAGAGCCAGATCCTGACAGCAGACAATAAAAACTGCTGTATCCACGTCGTAGATCAGGATGGACAGTTCCTCCGTTACATTGATAACTGTTATCTACTGGATCCATGGAGTTTATGTGTAGACACCAGAGACAACCTCTTTGTGGGTGGGATGTTCTTTGCAAAAGTGAAAAAAATCAAATACATGTAAAAGATCTAACATAACCATGCAATGAATTAGTGACTATGTTTGTTTTAACCACCACAAAGTGAAATGATCATGACATAAATATTTTGTAAAACATTGTACATGTATAAAAACATTTTCAATGGATATTAATTGCGTAATGGAATAAATTGTGTTGATTCTTTACAATCATTCTTACAATAAAGTTTAGTTGTTGTATATAATTGCCGAGGCCACATTTTTTTTAATTTCTTGATTTCCGAATTTTTTCCCTAGAACTTAATGTCGGTCGGGAGAAGTAAAAATAAAAAATCTTTTGTTTTTCATGTGAAAATGTAGTTTGAAGCATAAACATAGGTAATCAGAGATTACAGAGCACACCTAAACGAATGTTAAGTAAGGCAAAGTCACACAATTTACCAACAAAAATGTACATCCAAAAATGCAAAATTAATGCAATTTTGATCTGATACTTTGAAATAGATCTATACTTCAACCTAGTTCTTTGTCATGAAGATGTAACTAAAATCCAGCATCTGATTAAGGTTTGAGAGTTTTTATCCCTTGATGCATCCCCTGTGAGGTGAAATTTATGATTTCAAGAACTTTTATGAAGCGTTCATGAAACTTCATAAAATATTCATGACTGGTTCATAAAGACAGTTCATGAATTTTATTCATGAATATATTCATAAAATGAAGTTCATGAACAAATGATGAATTTATATGAATATTGGTAAATCGGAAACGTCACACGAGTAAAACTCACCAGAAGTTCATGGGAGTGAACATTCATGAATTTTCATGAAGATTTAATTGACCTGCAATTCGAATAAAAAAATAAATAGTCTTCATGAATATTCATGAATATTCATACATATATTTTACAAGTTGCTTTTAAAAATAAAACAGTACATTATTTATTATAAAAAATTTAAGAGTCATTCTCTGTAAGAATCAAAGAATTCAGAAAAAAGTTGGAAATGGTACATCACAGATTTTGCTGATTTTGTGCATGCAATGTAGAAACACCATGTGTAGAACATTTTGGGGGTTCATTTTTTATTTTGAGTCCCGGTTGCCATGGTAACCAAAACCACCATTTTGAGGCAAAAAATACAGAGCAACTTACTGAAAATATACCATCTTCATCATAAATTTCTATATTCTATATATTATTTACAGATTTAATTTTTGCCTACTCTGATAGACTATTTGTTGTCAGGGCTTATTTATGCAGTCGTTCCATGAAATTGTTTAGATAATTTGATGGTGGAAATTTCGATACATGCATAATCTCCAAAGACGCATGTAGTTCGTCCCAGGAGGAAATGAGCTTTTATTTACATTACTGAATGATCTTGTCTTTAGTATAATCCGTGCTCGCCCTGCTCCAAGTATTGTTAAAACTTATAATACGGTGCCTGGGGAAAATGCAGTGAAAACAGAAAAAATGTCTTGTTCAAGTTCACTTTTAATTCTTTATTGTGTAAATAGATTCGTATGTTGCTGAAGTGTTATACTTCACTCCTATCCAACGATTATATTTTGGACCATATTACATTGTAAATTAGATTGCATCTTCTTGTTTCTTTTCCCAGATGCTTCAGTTCAAATTTTCATCAATAAATTTAGTAACAGTTAAGTAGAGGATCACTGTACATCAAATGGTTTGAGGAGCACTGAAAGCTTTCAAGAAAAGCAGGGGAATGGTCAGCATGTGTAACGCTGTGTCAAGATTGTTATCGCCAGGGTTAGGGTTAGGGTTATACGCGCTCATTAAGTGATAAAAGATCTTCCCATTGATTTCATTATTTACAATTTGCAACCTTCATTTTATTCTGTTTGTTGAATAAAAAATCAGTTAGGTCATTCAACATATAAAACATTACTTGAAAAATGCTGACCTGGGATCTTGAAACATCTTTATTCAATCAAAATCTTTATTATACCCCCGCTTGAAAAGTGGGAGGGTATATAGTAATCGGTATGTCCGTCCGTCCGTCTGTTACGCTTTGGGGTACCCATCTCTTATCCGCAACTCCTCTCATACCACTGAAGGAAATTTAATGAAACTTTCAAGGAATCTTTATTATATATTGCCATTGTGCACCTCCTATTTTACTTTTTGATCTGACATATATTTTGGATTTTCAAGAGCAAAACATGGATACTGCCATTATATTCATATGGGAGGCGGGGTATTATTTAGTGAGCTCATCGCTCACAGTACCGCTGGGTTTTATAATAAAATGTTGTAAAAGTCAAGCAGACCAGAAGGGTTAGGGTTAGGGATATTTTTAACATTGTTTCACAGAGATGTTGTAATGTGCAAATGCAGAAATAAATTCCATAATTAATAAATATTTTATCGGCGATTGAATATTTCTCTTAAGTCATAGTTTGTTTCATGATCCTGGAGCCAGGAGCTTCAATTTAAAGTTCTTTGTACATTATTGTATACAATATTGAATACGCATGGTCTCTTGAAGATATATATTATCAAACGAAAGAAATTATAAAACATAATTTATAGTTTCTTTCCGCTTTATGATTTTAAGCAAATCACGTCAGACAAGCTTTTTAGGAAAGCTAATACTTGTTGGAAAGAGTTTTGTTCCAGTGAAAAGTGTGAATTTTTCAAAATTTTACAAATTTGAAAAAATGACAATTTTTGGCATTTTCTAAGCATAGTAGCAAGAAAACGCGGGCAACCCATAACAAACAACTACCATCACTGAAAAGGTCATTCCTAACTCAACAAAATATAAAAATTTCTAGAGAGGTATTATTTCTTAAAATGAAATAAAACGAAAATGAAAATAGGTTGCTATGGAGATTTTGGATAAATTTGTAGATTCAACATTTGGCTCCTTTTTGTACATAATAACTTTAAAAAGGTCAAAAGTAAAGCAAAAACACAACTCAACATCATAATTTTACAATATTATGATAAATATGTTACTTCATAAATTAAACAAAAATAATGTGTTACTATAGCAACCAAAAAGTCAGGAAAAATCACCATAGCTATTGACTTTATCATAATGCAGAATCTTTGGCCTCAGTGTATGAATTTATTTCTTCAAATTTAAATAGATAACACTTATTATATTTGTTATTTCACTTATGTATATTTAAAAGAGAAATAAATAAAACTTCAAGCGTTGAAAATCACGTTGCTATGGTAACCAAATAGTTTTTAACACTTCCTTATATTGGTTGCTATCAGAAATTTTGTTATACTGACTGCACTGTATGCACGTAAAATGAACTCCTCTCCAGTGAAATTTGCCGTATTTCCCTATAATCTTTAATGTATTCCTTCATTATATATTGTTTCAATAAAGTGTACACATTGTATTATAAATCTGGCTTAAATTCAACTGTAGTAGTGTTTGCTATGACAAAAAATCTCAATATAAATATTTTTTTCCTTTGTTGCATAAAATAATCTGATGTTAAAGAAATGAATTCCTAAGTTCTCTCATTTTTTGGAATAAATTCGCGTTCCTAAATGATAGGGCACATTCACCCACGAACATTGACCCCCATTCAAAAAAAAAACTTCATCAACAATTTTCAACCCTGCAAAAATCGAAATCTAAGAGAAATTCGCAGTTTTGTCACGTGTTCAGTTTAGCGATGTGATTTCATAAGGTCAGCATGTAAAATAAATAAAATAATTAATTTAAAAATGATTAATAAATGAAATTCTTTAAAAAATTGATGAAATACCTTACATGCCCCCCCCCTTTTTTTTTCAAGCACACAATTAAAAAGCTGTTATGAGGTATTTAACTTTTGTCATATATACAGATTAATTTCATTTTGGTTAACATATATAATTTTTACCAACAGATGGTTTATATACTTTTCATCAACATCTGATTTTAATAAGATTGATAAATATGTCTATACTTTAAATTATTGATATAATTAGAATCATGTCATTATTCATGCTTTGGATACTTTAGTGTTTTTTTTTAATAAATAGGCATTTCATATTATTAATAAACTCAAACAAAATATGTGAAAATTTCAATGTACGTGGTAAATATTTCATTGGTACTTGCCTAGTGATCTTCTTATTGCCATGTATATTTCTTCATCACAAACTTATTATCCCACCCTTAGCTCTGAAGTTTATCTAACTGATGTTACTTTGTTTTTAAACACTTTTTTTTTCAATGATGCAGCACTTGTTGTCACAGAGACAGGAATTTCATAGGATGCAATCCATTTTTAAGTTTATCACATCTATACACAAACATGTATATCTCACAGTCACAGTAAAGCCTGAACAATCATTAAACAGTTTAACTATGGGTAATGTTAAATACTTCACAAGTTGGATAAAAACCCGTAAAAATATCCAAAACAGACAAAATCGTTTTCTGCTGTGTACTTTCACTTTCATTTTCATTGATTTAAGCAAAAGATTTCCGAAAGGGGAAATAACTCTTGTCAAAAATGTGTGTAAATTTAAAGATTTTTACAAACTTTACAATAAATTTATTTTCTTAAAGTAAATAATACCTCTCCAGTTTTTTCATATGTTCTTCATAAATGTATAAGGTGAATTTCAGAGCATCAGAATATTCCACCAGTGTCTGCAATTTTTGTGTACATTTTATGTTTACCCCCCCCCCCTTTTTTTTTAAAGCAATTTTTTTAATGTTATTTGGCATTTAACAGCAGGTTCAAATTTTTTTTTTTTTTTTTATTTTTGAATACAAAATACAAATAACAAATTATTTCAAAAGAAAAAAAATAATAATCACCTTTATTTAATTAAATGTACATTAATGGGAAGAAATATCATTTTAGGTATTTACCACCAATGTGCAAAAACAGGTAACCTGGTTGCCATGGAAACAAGACCAATTAATCACTAATAATAGTTTTGTAAATCGGGCTTATAAGGTAATTATTTCACCAAGTTTCAGCAAAATCCGTGAGAATCAATTTCCAGCCTATTTTGATGCTTACAGAGAATGACTCTTAATAGACATGTATGTATT